TCCCCAGGAACAAAATAATTTGCCGTTGGCGACTTTGATTACAACTCATTAAATATGGACTGTTATTACATCTTTATTCTATTAAAGTTTTCTTTTTATGAAGTAAAGGAGAAGAATTAGACAATTTTTTAATGGTCATTGAATTGCCACATTGGCACAGATGAAGATTTGGGAGGTAAAAGCTGGTTTTCAAAATATGAAGCATAGAAGTAAGGTAGACACTCACTGCTGTGTGTGTTGAACGTTAATCGTTAGCGAGAAACTAAAAAATAACTTACATGATTGACGTGCCAGTTTTTTCGTGTGTCTTTTTTCGCCTTCCAACTAAGAGAGAATCTTTGATTAAATGAAATACTGTTCATTGAGAATGAAGATTAAATTTCAAATTACGGTGTAGGTGTACTACGAATTTTATAATGAGCACAGCAAAATCAAGGAGAAGCTTTTTTTTTAGAATATGTGCTGGCTTTTCTCTACAGGAGAATTATTGTCTTAACGTTGCCGTAATATTTAAAGTGTCGCCAGTTTCAACAGTTTTTACATCATTTAGTTTTCCTAGATTATTAATAATTTCATAGAGGTCGGTTACCTTTTTGCCGTTATTTGGACCTGTAAATCACTTTGTATAAAGGTTTAAGATGTGTTAGTGAATGGTTGTGAATAATGCTGTGTAGTATCAGTAAAATTCCTTACCAGACAGAGAGGAAAAAACAAGATTTGTAGGCCAAGTTGTTAACTCGTCTTTATAATCATTTTTATCCTAAAATAACTAATCATTCGATGTTTTAGCGGGCTAATCTTACAAAGAAATGATTCATTTTTATGAAGTTTTTGATGTTTATAAATCATTCGAAAATTAATCGAATAACATGTAAAATATAAATCAGTTACTGATTTGTATCTGTAAGACATTTAGCATGCGAGAACATTTTCTCGTTGATTTGCTTTTTTTTTTTTGTTATTTGTTGATTTATTTTTAAGGAAAGTTTTACTGGTAGAAAGGTATGTGTTTTATTTAAAAGGATAGCAAAAAGTGCATAACTAAAACAGAGGATAATAATAATAATGACCACAAACTTTACCATTGTCGATTTTTCTAAAATTAGGTCATTTTGAAAGTTAAGTATAAGCTTAGTTTTATTAATAACATGGATTTTTTATTTAACAAAGTTTATAGCAGTTAACTGTCAAGTTATAATCATTACTATAGCTGATGACTTTGGAATGTCAAATCAAAAATGCAACAGCATTCTCATTTTTTGTTTTTTTGCTGATGTGATTATTATAGACTAAGGTTATTGCACGAGTAACTTACGATTTGCCGGGTGTAGTAAAGCTACCGGGAGAGAGAAGCTGGTCGACGGATTTGGCGGAACAACTTCAAACTAAATTATCTGTAGTCAAATTTATTTGAATACCAGAAGTCGTTGGCAATAACAGAATGTTATACAATGAAAACACATAAGCATTTTTAGTACATTTTTGGTATATATTTGTTGCCATAAAAGTCGAGAAAAATTAGGGATTCTGCATAGAAGGACTCCACTGTGCAAAAAAAAATTTTTGTGTAAGCAGCGTTTTTGTGCAACAAATTCTGTGCCAAAATAAGTTTTGTCTGGAACAACATCTTTATATTAAAAACTTGGTTAACTCAACCTTGCCACTGTTTGTTCTTTCTCAGACTAACGTTTGGCAGTGTTGGCCAATTTAAAATATAGTAAGGATAGAAAACTGAAGTAGGCAGTATGTGCGGAATAAAATGAGTGAAACTTAAAACGCGTAATAAAGTAACTTTTTGCAAGAGCATTCTTTGTTTTTAAAATAGCGTACTTTTTTGTAGAAATTTTTCAATGTAAAACTGAAGAAAGAAATTTTTTGCAAAACTGAAAGTTTTTTGTTGACATGCTTATTAAATTTAAAAATATAATTAAATATGTGAAGCATTTTGAAAATACAACATGAAACTTCACATTTTCAGTTAACATTTATTACAGATGATGACGAAGTTATTTACAGATTTCTTTGCAGAAATGAGATATGCAAAGGAAGAAGTATAGTAACAAACGTAAAATTTTCAAAAAGGTTCTGTCTGCAAAATTACTCTTTTTTTTTTTTGAGGACTCTTTCACTCAAATTATTTGCTTTTGTAAAATTAGTCAGCAGATGAACAAGACTGTCGATTGTAAAAGTATATTCACTATTATATTGACTTAAGCTTTAAAGTAGCTGATAACTTGTAAAACTATTTCACAAAATGCTCTCAAACTTGTAACTTTCGTTTAGGAGGAGAGCACAATGGCTGAGGCTTTCAAAAGTGAGCTGTGGAAAAACTTCTTTGAGAATGTGTGGGCAATCAAGAAACCTGCATGACATTATTCTGACTTAACCGTTGTTACTGCTAAGGGATGCCTGAGAAAAATTGAAAGTTTATACAGGTATGAGCTTCTGGAAAATACCACTGTCAACACCGAGTTTTTTGCAACAACCGATGTTTAACAAAAACGGGAATAACGTGTCAAAATTTTGTGTAATTTTATCTGATGGGCTTAAGTAGAAATGAAAAGAATAAATAAACAGTTATAGTACTGCTAGAAACTAAATAGCATTCTGCCAAAACAGTATTTATATTCCATTCATTTATTCATACCTGTCATGAAAATGTTAATTTTTGTTTCCTAACTCGCAGTTTTGAATTGTATGTTTCGAGTTAAATTTTACTTTCAAAACACTTTAAAATTATATTTTTTGATTCCACTTTGATTGGTAAATTTTCCACCAAAATACCGTCAAGTTATAATCATCATACAATAGTCGATCATTTATGGCAACAAAATGCAATATTGCTGGATTTGATTTAGATGACAGTTTAGTAACTTTACCTTACAGATTACCGTTTTACAGTTTTTATTTACGCCACACGTTCCTTGTCTGAATCGAACTTAAAATTTTTTATTAATTAAGCGTTCTTATCCATTGGTTTTTTTATAGTAATTTTATTTTTATCAAATCTTTAAAACAATAAATAAGGAAAAATATTGAATAACTAACATTCTTTCGTTTTTCCCTCTTTTACCAGCAACAAACAATTATCATCGCTGTTTCTGGAATAACGAAATTTGTCGGTAAAAAGTTTTCGGCGAAAATATCTTGTCATTGGGCCGTCAAAAAATAGTCTGCCCCAACAAGAATAATTTGTCATTAAAACATTGTCGACACCAGTTTTCACTAAGTGATCTAAACATAGTAAAGCGTATAGTTTCAAAAAAAAAAAAAAAAAAAAAA